CACTTATGTGCATGACATCATTCTGGTGGTCTTTGCTAGTTTGGTGGAAGCTATATGCCTCCTAACAGTTCTTCTCTCTTATGTCTTCATCATAGTGGCCATTCTTAAAACAGGTTCTGCGGAGGGCAGAAAAAAAGGGTTCTCCACTTGTGCTTCCCATCTCACGGTAGTTACAATTTACCATGGCACCCTCATCTTTATTTATTTGCGTCCCAGCACAGGTCATTCATTGGATATTGACAAAGTCACCTCTGTGTTCTATACACTAGTCATACCCATGCTGAACCCCCTAATATACAGTCTCAGAAACAAAGATGTCAAAAATGCCTTTCGAAAAATGATTGGTCGGAAACTGCATGACTAGGTGTGGAACTGAGCCTTGCAACGATTCAACAATACCTATTTCTTTGGTTTCAGTTCTGTTGCAAAAGAGAGCTTACAGGAACCCTCCTCAAATCTGTGGGTAATGAGACCTCAGGAATTGAACAGGAGAAAGCGTCAACCAGATCCAGGCATCATCAATTTTTCATATTGCCTCTATTTATTTGTTATTTTGAGTTTAAAATTTTAGGAGCTGGAGAGATAGTATAATGGGTGAGGTAGCTGCCATCTGCATGGATAATAGGGAACCCACACATGAACAATATGGTTCCCTGTGCTTCACCAAGAGTTTTATCTCTGAGTTTAGATCACAGAGAAAGCTTTGAGAACAGCTAGGTATGGCCCCATAAATAAATAAATAAAGTTTAAAATTTCAGTATCTATTTCAAGGGAAAAGCTGCCTTTCACTAAATGTCCTGTTTTTCAGGATTTTACCCCTATAAATCCTAATACTAAAGCTTTATTATAATGATTACCTACATTGGATAAATCATTGAAATTTCCAAACCATTTTTTTAGTGAAATGGAATATAAATGCAGGGGCTGGAGTGATAGCACAGTGGGTAGGCCAATTGCCTTGCACGTGGCCCTACCTGGGTTCGATTCCCAGCATCCCATAAGGTCCCCCGAGCACAGTCAGTAGTAACTCCTGAGTGTGCATGAACCAGGAATAACCCCATGTGCATAGCTGGGTGTGACAGAAAAAGCATAATAATAATAATAATAATAAAATATAAATGCAATTCATTGTTATTCTGTTTTGTTTTGTTCATTATTTGGGTCACTCCCTGTATTTCTCAGGGATTACTCCTAGCTCTGCACTCAGAAATCATTCCTGGTGGTGATCTGGGGACCATATGGGGTGCAAGACAAACTCCCTACTTACTGTCCTATCACTCCATCCCCATGACTCATTTTTTTTCTTAATACATAAATCCATGGAAGTCTATGTACATTGTAATTAGCTGTCAAAAGCATACTCACTCTAAAATTAAATCTTTAAATAGTAATTTATTTCTTATTTTCTGACACTGTTTTAATTACAGATTGCCATATTGCAAATCTCTTTATATTTTTGAATCTGGTTCTTTTAAGACAACCTCTACATCTATCTAATCTTGCACATAGATTTTAACTAGTTCCCATTTATTTGTTTGATTGAGCCATATTCCATAATGTGGACTTACTCCTGGCTTTGAGTTGAGAGGTGACTCCTGGCTGTGGTGCCTGGAATCAAACCCTGTGGACTGCACACAAGGCAAGTGCCCTACCCATTGTACTATCTTTCTGATCCTTAGTTAATTCTTAGTCACTTATACTCTTGCTTCGCAAGCATAATATTTGCTCCAGCATAGATACAAAGAAACTTTTATTATTGAAAATTAGAAGTTGGCACTGGTAGAATGTTCAGGGGACCATATGTGGTGCCCATTATAGAACCTAAGTTAACACTACAGAAGGCAAATAACTAATCCACTGTGTTACCTCTCTGGGGCCTCAAAATATTTATTTTTGTTAAGTTATAATGGGTTGATTTTTAAGACTGGTAATTTGTACACCTATGGATCCATAATAAATTATTAATTTCAAATTTTTCAAGTAAAATCTCTTTTAAAATTATTGTTGAATATTTTCTATTTTCAATAATAATAATAAAATATAAATGCAATTCATTGTGATTTAAATATTCTGGTAAAGACTCTAGGATTCAAAAGTAAGTAATGGTATTTACAAATGTTGCCATGATAGTTTGATCAACTGTTGAATTATGGTCATAGAAAAGTTTAGCTGAAAATGTCTAAAGAAAGAATATACCTCGAAAGTGATTTTGAGTAGTGGTATATAAGCTAGAGAGAAGTCATCTGTGAGTGGGACTAAATAATAGTTTATTCATTCTATATAGCTGTTTCATTCATTCAAGTGCGATGTGAACTTTTTATTTTTTATGCACCAAGGATAGGTGCTTTGCTTATGGGTCATGTGCTGTGTTTGTGGAACACTGGGTGACAGAGATCAAATCCATGGTCTTTCACATGTAGGGCACATGCTCTACTACTGGATCTGCCTCCCTGACACTAGTGGGCTAACTTTACAAAGAACATTTTCTGCTGATAAATCAGTGATGATATAGAGCTCTGGCCGATGAAGCTTTTCATAGACAAAAATGGAATATTAGCTCCAGGTCAAAGAAAACAAGTGCTTCCTCCTAAATACTAATACTGAAATGCATGCCTTCATCCTAATATATGAATAGTGATTCCCTTGCTGCAAAGAGGCCTTGGTTGAGGAAGTAAAGGATAACAGGACATTCTGTTACTCTGGAATGAATTATCTAAACTCATTTCTTGGCAAAATAGGGTCTGGAATATAGATAAATACTGTGGTTTGGGGTTTGTACACATGAGATTAATCCATCCAACCTGGGTATCAGTGAGGAAACCTCTTCTCCATTTAAACAAAGAGTGAATATATGATCATTTAAAGGGATGATAGCTTGATGGACCACTTAGATCAGTAGCCTGGATTAGAAACTAATCCTATAGCATCTGAACAGAAAATTACATGACACACTGGATGTTCAGTCCTTAACACGAAAAGAGATGAATCCCAGGAATTCTGTATCCAAAATCTCAAAACAGAAAAGTCACAAAGGAACCATATTTATTTAGGACTAGGAGTTTTGTATGCAGCACTGGCTTTCACCAAGATCTCACAGATAAGTGAAAAATAGTAAAATGACCAAAATAAACAATATTATAACACTAGAAAATCTAGTTATTTTTATTTCACTTCATTTGGTATATAGTTGGGTCTCACCTAGCTCTGATCAGGGTTTAATCCTAACTGTGTTCAGGGATTATTCCTAGTGATGCTTGGGAAAATCATAGACAGAGCCAGAAAAGAAGCAGTGGTAGCTGCATGCAAGACAAACCTTAACCACTGTACTATTTTCCAGTTGAAAATGAAATTCTCATCTTAAACTATGATAACAATTTTCTTAAAATAAAAATACTAGATTTTCTAATCATGTATAATGACTGTTAAATAATTGCTTTTCAAATATACAAAATTAAAATCAAGCAATGTAGTTTTAGTCACATAAGTGAAACAAGACCAATGATTCCAAATTTATGATTTGGATGATTCCAAATTTATAATATAAATATGTTCAATTTTGTATTTATAAAAATATGGAACACATTCTTTGGAAAGTATGATGAATTAGAAAAGCATTGAAGTATTTGAAAGATTCAGATAAATGACATCATATAAAAATAAATTGTTGCTACTAAAGGAAGTACTACACATATAATAATAAAACATTTCTCTCAAATGTGCTTCAATCAAAAATAAAAGACAAATAACTTGCTGAAAATACGTTTTAATGTGTTTGACTCATTCTTACAAATTCTTTTGAAGTACAACTTGAACATTTTGATCAGAAAATATATATAATTAATGAAGAGAAAATAAATTTTAAAATTTTGCAATGCATATCCAGTGTTTTGTACTAATAAAAGATGAAAACATTTGTGTTCTATATTAATAACAGCCTAAATCAAGTAAGTATCCAAGAGAAACTATTATTGCATTGTTGCTTTTGGTTTTTTTGTAAGTAAACTAGAATCTAGATCTTAGTGGTTAAATGTATGCATTTATTAAGAAACTATAATATTTTACTCTAAAACTTACCTAAAAGCCATATTGCTATTCTAATTTGTTCCACACATATGCAGATAAGCAATGTAACTCATTATTAATAATTTTATCTGGTTAAACACACATAGCATAATAATTCTTTCTTTATAAGTTCAATTGTATCATTGTTTTCAATGTTTGTATTACTCTTATTTTGATCTACTATCATGACATAAACACAAAGAAGATGAATTTCCTGTCCCAGTAAACTTAGAGAAAGTTCGAGATTTACCCCCAACTCTGTTTTTGAAACTTCAGTACAATTATCAAAATAATTACATGCAGATTAATTAAAGGAGAATTCACATACTCATATTTAAGATGTAATGTGTACTATAAATTACAAATCCAAACCTGCTAGCCCTGGATATTTCTGTTGATATAATTGGAATAGAATGATGAGGAAATGATGATCTGGAAAGATTTTTACATCTACTTATTTCTTTCCCTGATTCCAATTTCAGTATATGCAGAGAAAATAAAAAGCACTTGTTTTCTAAGGTCACTTGAATATACTTAAATAAGACAGTTTTTTCATGTGATATACATATCTTCACTTTTCATCAGCTTTTTAGATTACACTCTTTCACCTTTACAATATCTGTCATTTAAATGGTTTACAATGAAAATCATTATGAACAGAAAAAAATTGTAAAAGGAGTTGCATAGACTCCACATTTATGAAACTGAGTCTACAAGAGCAAATCACTTTTCTCATTTTTATTCTTCTAAGGTTATTAGAAGAATGGAATTATGCATAATGGTTTCATATATAGAAACATGTTTATATATAATTGCCTATGTTAATAAATCATAAAAGTATCTAGAAAGAAAATAAGTGAGACTATATAAACTATGTGAAAACATATAAACTCTAACAATCCAATATTGAAATCAATACCTTGGGGTGATTAAGAGTTTCACCCAGAATGTAATTCAGTGCCCATTACTTTTTTCAGGGCACACTTCACATCTTTATTCCTCAAGCTGTAGATCAATGGGTTTAACATAGGGATGACAACTGTGTAGAAAACGGAAGCCATTTTGTCAGTGTCCATGGAGTAACTTGAACTAGGTCTAAAATACATGAACAGGAGTGTGCCGTGAAATATAGCCACTGCAGTTAAGTGGGAGGCACAGGTAGAGAAGGCTTTGCGTCTCCCCTCAGCTGATTTCATTCTAAAGATAGTAGTTATGATGTAGCTGTAAGAGAGGAGGACAGTGATTATGCTGAACCCCACGACACAACCAATGAGAGTGAACATCACTATCTCATTAATGGATGTATCTGAGGTGGAGAGGGCAAGCAAGGGAGGGATGTCACAGAAGAAGTGATTGATGATATTGGAGCTGCAAAAAGACAACCGGAATGCTAAAGAGGTGTGAATTGCAGAATCCACCAATCCCACCGTGTAGGAAAAGACAACTAGCTGGGTACAGAGTTTCCTGGACATGGCAACTGTATAAAGAAGTGGATTGCAAATGGCTACGTAACGGTCATAAGCCATAACTGCTAACATGAGACATTCCAAATCAGCAAAGGCACCAAAGACATACATTTGAATGGGACAGAGATGATATGGGATCCTCTTTTTCTCAGATAAAAAATCAGCTAGCATCTTGGGAGAGACAGAGGAGGAATAACAGACATCACAGAAAGACAGGTTGCTCAGGAAATAGTACATGGGTGTGTGGAGTCTGGAGTCCATCTTGATCAGCAGGATCATCCCCACATTGGCAATCACAGTTGTGCCATAAACAAAGAGAAAAAACACAAAAAGCCCAAGTTGGACATCCTGTCTGCTAGAAAGTCCTAAGAATATGAACTCAGAAAACACAGTGCAATTCTCCACCACCATCACTCAGATCTGGAGATCCTTGATTGTGACAAAGAATGGAAGTTCAAGGTTAGACTTATTGCACCATCTTAATAAACTATTTGACTTATTTTTCAACAATGTTTAAAAGAGATGACTAGTACTCTGACTATGGTAACTTGATTGTCAGAGAAATATATGCAATTGAATATAAACAGATATAATAATGATAAAACTTTCATTTATCTAGCAGTGTACGAAATAGAAGAACATTTTAATCCACAATGTTGTGATCTTTCCATATCGAATTACATAGTGCACATTATAATTTTCATTATGATCTCATAATTGGGCTGGAGCACAGCGGGTAGGGCATTTGCCTTGCAAGTGGCTAACATGGCTGACCCAAGTTCGATTCCTCCGCCACTCTCAGAGAGCCCGGCAAGCTACCAAGAGTATCTCTCCTGCATGGCAAAGCCTGACAATCTACCCGTGAGGTATACAATACGCCAAACACAATAACAATTGTCAGAATGGAGACGTTACTGGGCCCGCTCAAGCAAAACCAATGAACAATGGGAGGACAGTGACAGTGACAGTGATCTCATAATTAATGAATTATTCTTAATTGCAATAGAAAACCGTGATTATGACAGAGATACAGTAATTAATAACCCTTCTTTATGTTTCATTATTCAAACTCTGAATTAAGTAGAATCAAGAAAATTTATCAGGTGCAATATTCACCCACGCCCCAGCTTCTCTGATAATATCTGCCTCAATAGACAACAGCCTGGAATTTCAGACTCAGAGTGCAGTGAAGTGTGTTTATTACCGAGGAATAGGGTAGAAGAAGGTGTATGTTTTTTCCGGAGTAGGAAGCTGTGGCAGGTAAGGTACATTGGAAGAACATCAGGACGAATTTAAGGATGTTTGTTTCACAGCTACCCAAAATGTAAAAAATATTGCAAGGAAGTAATATTGTTATGTATCTCCCTCTGCATTCATGGATCAGAACCAATTTAATGTATTCATCAGCAGTCTAGGAGTGTAAGACAAAGGGCAAAAGTTCATGTGTGATTGCCACTCAATGTTTCTTTTTCAAACCACAACACCCAAAATGAGAGAGAGAACAGAGGGGAATGCCCTGCCACAGAGGCAGGGTGGGATGGGGGGGATGGGGGTGGGAGGGATACTTGGATCCGTGGTGGGAGATGGGCACTGGTGGAGAGATGGGTACTTGATTATTGTATAATTGAAACCCAAGCACAAAAATGTATACTGTACCTCATGATGTCTCACTATTAAAAATTTTTTAATAAAAAAAAGTTCATGTGTGTATATCTTCATGATGTAGAGACAGTTATGTCTGAAATATGCCCTTTGCCCTCTTCCTTAGAAATAGTGTTTTGGCTCTCTAATTTTATTTGATCACTAATTGCCCAGAATATGTCTAGAATCGTACTCCCTTTGGTTAAAATGCTTTGGTTATCCTTGATGCAAACTTAATTATATTTTCCACTTCTACATTTTACATGAGGCAACGATGCTGTGTATATAAAACTCGTCCCCTCATTTTACAAGAAATGAAAAGTAGAATTGAAAGTCGATGAAGAAAAGAAAAAATAGAAGAATTCTAGTAACCAAGAAACTAGCTTCTAAACCCTTATATAAAACTACTTAAAATGTGTTCCTATAGACATTTTAAAAATGATACCCTTTATAAAGAAAAATATCTCAATAAAGTACCACTTAATCATCAATAACAACAAAAGTGACCGGTCACATCTACAATCTATGCTTGCCCTTATTATTACCATCTATGTGCAGATGTATTAAAATTTGATAAATAATAGCAATTAAAATAAATGTATAAGATTACATAAACTCCTGATTTTATAACCTTTCAGTAAAACAAGATGATAAATAAGGAATTTAAAACACAAGCTAGAAAGCTCAGGATACACATTTATACTAACCGAGAACTACTGACTCGTGCAGTTCTTCTGCAGGCTGGTTCTGCATTGCCTCCTGACTGACCTGAGTTAAATACCCGCCCTGAGTGAGTTCCCTGGGTATTCAGCACTTATACTCTCGGGACTGAGTAGTAAATCTAGTGATGTGGTTTAACAGCTGATGTTTTGTACTGGTTGGTCAGATGATTGAGAAAAACAGACAGAACATTTTAAAAAATGTTTACTTTAATCCAGAGTGTCTTACTGCCCAAACAAATATACATATATATCCAGTAAAGAAGCATCCTTTATTTTCAGCCCCCCTTCCTATACAGATACATCTGTTTTCATTACATATTATACCAACCAAATACTCACTCTTGTGCTCACATTCTTACACAGACACATTGACCAACACTCAGATCATCCTCATTTACAGTATCATAGTAGGAAATACTGTGTTTCATCACAACACTATCCCCAATTTTTTAAAAACACAATGAATAAACGCAAAATAAGCATCTTGTAAAACAACAAAAGAGCTGAGCATTATCATACTGCTTAGTGATCACTACATTTCATCATCTGCATTGTTGAATTATTTTTTAATGGATCAATAATGTATAATCTATGTGCATACTTCAATAAAATTGTCTAGATATATACTGTCAGTGTCACTGTCCTCCTGTTGTTCATCGATTTGCTCAAGCGGGCCCAGTAACGTCTACATTGTCACACTTGTTGCTATGTTTGACATATCAAATACATCAGAGCTTGGCAAACTACTGAGAGTATCTCACCCACATGGCAAAGCCTGGCAAGCTCCCCGTGACATATTCGATATGCCAAACACAGTAACTCTATAGATATATACTAATTTATTCAATTTAGTTTCTGCTAATATGTAAAATTAATTCTGGAAAAATAGGACATAAGTAAAATTGTACATTCATAATTTATAACATTCAAATATTAGTAACAGAACATATATTGAACTAACTTTCAGAGCAAAGACTATTTCTAAAGATAATTTTGTTATTTTGATCAAATGTTGATCTTTTAATCTAAAATTGATTGTTTCTATTATCTAATTATCAGTATATATCGGCATACATTTCATCTATTAACTGTTCCTGAGTTGTTTCTAACAACTTTATTAAGTTCTGATAAGCAAGAGCTGATAAGCTAGTATCTACAAATTCATCAAAGAATATATGCAAGAGCTGATAAGCTAATATCTACAGGTTCATCAATTATTTCATAACATACATAGAAATTTATCACAGTAGATTCATGAATATGAGAAATACTGTTTTAATAATAAATGTTATCAAGCCTGCTGGTACATATTATAGTCTATTTATTTTAAAGTAACATTTGAAATTAACAAAGTTAATCACTCATGACTTCCAAATTTCTTCGGAAACATAAAGGTTATTCAAGTCTCATCTATAGGTGATTTTTGGTTCTTTGTTTTTATGGGCAACACCCAGTGATACTCAGGGATCACTCTTGGACCTGCATTCAGAGATCACTCCTGGAGGGGCTGGAGCAATAGTACAGCAGGTAGGGTGTTTGCCTTGCACACTGCCAACCCGAGTTCAATCCCTGGCATCCCATATGGGCCCCTGGGCACCACCAGAAGTAATTCCTGAGTGCAGAGCCAGGAGTAACCCCTGAGCATCTCTGGGTGTGACCCAAAAAGAAAAAAACAAAACAAACAAACAGAGATCACTCCTGGAGGAGTCAGGGGGCCCTATAGGGTACCGTGGATCAAATCCAGTTCAACTGTGTACAAGGCAAATTCCTTAGCCTCTGTTCTGTCTGTCTGGCTTCTCAAATCTCATTTCTATAGAAATTTAAGATCTCCCATGATCAAGAACAAAAAGCAACAAATGAGACATTGAGACAACTTTTAAGGTAGCCTGTTATCTTTATACTAGATTGAATATTGTTAAATATTGTTTGTTGTGAAAAATTAGTGATCTGGAATGTGGTTGCACTGCACAATTTTAGGAAATAAATTTAAAAATGAGTAAGTTTTACACTTTTTGCCTAGTGATTTCTTGAAGTTTTGAGGAATAGTTTCTGCCTTATCCTTTAATTGAGTAACACTTTATCACCTGTGTGAACCGTGAAATATACTTATTAGCATAGGTTACCATGTTTTCATTATACATTTACAATAGAATAATATTTTTTAAATCACAGATTATTAATAATTTTGATTGCATTTGTGTATAAAGTTTATGATTACTTTCTATAAATTTAGACTATGTTTTACACCCACCAACTGGCCCCCTGGCGCCGATTAACGGCCAAGACTCAGAGACTATAAAAACCAGCTCCTGGAAGAGAACAGTGCAGTCTCCTGCCTCTGCGCCTGACTGTCCTCGCTCGCCAGGACCCCTTGGAGGGGAGCGGGTTGAGGTTTCCTCCCTGCCCCGACCAGGGCTCCGGCAGCCAAAGACCTCCAGGACCAGCCACCACCATGCTGAGACCACTCTCCGCACACATGAAGGTACTGGCAGTGGAACAAAGTTACGCGGGTTCCGGGACCGAGATCTCCAAGCCTACTCGGATTTGGGCCAAGCATCCTCCACCCAGATCCTCCAAATTCCAGTAGGTGGGGGTCACACCCACCAACTGGCCCCCTGGCGCTGTGTAATCCCATCAGCGGCCAAGACTCAGAGACTATAAAAACCAGCTCCCGGAAGAGAACAGTACAGTCTCCTGGCCCCACGCCTGACTGTCCTCGCTCACCGGGACCCCTTGGAGGGGAGCGGGTTGAGCTTTGAGACATCTTATTATCTCATTCCTACTTTGGACAAACTGGCAGGTTACCGAATGTAGCCTGCCCACACGGCAGAGTCTGGCAAACTCCCCGTGGTGTACCCAATATGCCAAATACCAGTAACAATGATGGGTCTCATTCTCCTAAAGAGCCTTGAATATAATCTCAGGGCTAGGATGAAGGAGACGTTACTGGGGCCTGCTCAAGGCAATCGACGAATAACAGGATGATTTGTGATTTTGTGATTTTGTGATGTTTTACATAGATTCAATAAAAATAATATGGAAAGTCAG